GGTCGCCCGGATCTCGGCTGGGGCTGGGGGTAAGTGAATTCCTCCAGATTTGAGCGCTGGTGGCCGGCGGGGACTGTGGGAGCCCGGGCAAGAGCCGGAGGAGACCCCCCTCCGCCAGCGGAGGTGGGGCTTGGAGGAGGACCAGAAGGGGGAGGATGAGACCAGGAGAGCCACCCCCAGTTCTTCCTGGTTTGGGGATCCCCTTGAGACCCCCAGGGGACCACCTTGCATGGGGGTAGTGGGGGTGGGGGTGGGCGGAGGCAAGGTGGGAGGACACGAAGGACGAGCGGCGAGGTGAGCATTTGGGGTGGTGGTGCAGAGGCTTGATGGTGGATGGTTGTGCTCGCCAGTGCCACACCGCACCTCTCTGCCCCTCTCTTTGGCAATCGGAGTCCCTCCCCCCACCCCGTGTCAGGGGGTTCTGCTGGTCAAGGAATTCATCTTCCAACTGGTAAGGGGGGATTGACGGATACGGGGTGGCCGTCCCAGGGGGAGGGGGCCAGGGTGGGGCTTTCTCCCCCTGCCCCGGCAGCAGGGAGGTGGGTTTGGTAGGAGGACAGAACTGGGGGGTGGGGATCCTGGCAAAGGCTTGCCCCTTCCTGCGCTGGGTTGGTGTGGGGCAAGCAGGGAGGTATTGCAGGGAGCAGCAGAAATCGGCAGAGCCTGCAGCTCTGGCAGAGCCTGGGCCACTGCTGGCTCTGTGTGTCTGTGTGTGTGTGTCCGCGTTTGTGTGTGTGTGTGTGTGTGTGTGTGCGCGCCCGAGTGTGTGTTTGCATGTGGGCTCCAGCAACTGTCTTGGGAAGGGGGAGGGGTGGGCGTGTTGGCTGGGGCAGTGCATGCAGGTGGGGAGGGATGCATGTGCCCTGCGTGGACATGGGTAGACGCGGATCTCAGTGCACACGCGCACACACACATGCGCACGTTTGGTGGCCCAGCGGGGTTTCCTGGGACTGTTTGGAGGGAGAGAGCTGTTGCGTGGGGTTGTGCATGTGCTTGTGTGTGGGTGCATATGGGCACTTGGGGAGCTTGTGTTTGGGACAGAGGCCACCAGGCTGTGGTGTGTCAGGCATGCCTGAGGACGGAGATGAGCAGGGATGGTGGTGTACCCTGGCTCAGCTCAGGGGACTGTGGTACTCAGGGCACTTTCTGCAGCTGGGGGCTCCCTCCATGCCCCCTCCTCCAGCTCCTCCCTCACCAGCAGCTGCTTCTGGAGGGCACTGCTGGCTGGGTCCCTTGCTGGGTGACACAGGTGTTGGGCTGGAGTGTGTGTGTGCGCGCGCGTGTGTCCAGGCTGCGGCTGTCACTGTCAGCAGGCTGTCGGAGGCGAGAAGCTGGGGGAAGGGGCAGTTGCTGGCCGCGCCCGCCCGCCCAGGGGAGGGTGGTGGAAGCTGCAGCCCAGACGGCAGGTGTGAGTTATTGAGGGACATTTGAATCTGAGCGGCAGCACCGTGGGGGCTGGGAGCGCTGGCAGGAGTGTGTGTGGGTGTGTGTGTGCGTGCCTGGCTCCCACCCCGCTTCTCTAGCCTGTGGACACCTGTGGGATGTAACATGTCTAGGTCATGGGCAGGGCGTGTGGGCGCTCAGGTAGGTAAACGTGCCTGGTGAGGGGGTGAGCACATGGACACTGTCCTGAGCAAGCTGTGGGCTACGGCTACATAGGGGTGGACGTGGGGGCCTCTGGGCCATGAGCCCCTGGGCAGGAGAAAGAGGAGTGACTGAAAGGGGACATCAGGGAGAAGTATGGTGACATCAGTGAGAACCTTGGGGTGTGACATCAACTCTGGGCTGCTGGTGACGTCACTGGGACAGCGGCATGAGGGGCCACCCCCACTGTCCAGAGTATGCGAGTGTGATGTCATTGTGTGTGGCACTGAGTGGGGTCATGCCCCTGTGTGTTCGGGGGATAAGAGGAGGGGGACGGAGCCACAAGGTGGGCGGTCCCTCCCCAGAGGCCCCATTTCCCAGTGGCCTGAGCGGGTGTGGGAGTCCCCTCCTGTGCCCCTGAGAAGTGCATCTCCTCTGCCCCCACACGGTGGCTCTTCTGTCCGGCCCCTCTTCCCCTTCCTGTCCCAGCCACTTCGGGGCACCTGTGTCCTAGTGAGTGTGCCTGTGAATGTAAATGCATGTGACAACTGCTGACCGCCACAGCCAGGGACACCTTGGCTTCTAATCTCATTTTGCCACTTTGGGTGCTCTGTGCCTCAGGCCCTCGGCCACCCTTCTGAGCAGGGCTCTCTGTTCCGCAGCCTGGGAGGGCTGGAGAGGGAGGGGGTCATGGGCGACGGTGGCCTCCAGGGGGTGCTGGTGCTGGCCCTCGGGGAGGGGGCTCCACTCCCATGAGCTCTGTCCCCGTGTCCCTGGCCCCGGGCAGCTGCTCCTCCTTCAGATGAAGCCTAACTCTGCAAAGACTTCCTTTCTTCCTTGGGTCCTTGTGGCAGTCTGTGAGGCGGCCGGGCTGGCCACTGTGATGGGCACATTTGACAGATGGGCAAACTGAGGCCCGTCCACTCACTCTTCCATGGGAGTTCCCCTCAAGGGTGGCTCCTGGGACACGTTTGATCCTTCTTCGTGGGGTCAGGAAGTCTGCCTGGGAAGCAGACTGGGGTTGGGGCCACCTGTGCCACCTGCTGGCTCTGTGTCCCCCGGGGCCTCTCTGTGGAGGGCAGAGGCTGCTTTGCCTTTGAGGCTTTAGTGAGCAAACGTGAATCTGGCTTCCAGGGCAGCCCAAGGCAGTACCTGTCCCTGTCACTGCGCCCTGCTCCGGCTGCAGTGCTCTGGGCCCAGTCTTCCCTCCCGCCCCGCCCCCACCCCATGTGCCACTGAGCCGCGTGGCATGTGTGGCCGAGCCTGGGTGGAAAGGCCTCCTCAGGAAGGGCGTGATCAGCCCAGGGGGTCAGCTCCAGCCGTCTCCTGCCGCCCCAGTGCGGCCTCTGATTAGATCAGCCTCCTGGCTCGCAGCTGGCCCCAGGCCTGCCACTGCTCTGAGGACGGTGTCCAGGGGTTGGAATAAGAGGGCCCCTCTCCAGCCCCCGGCCCTGCGCACAGTCCCCAGGGAAGGCCGAAAAGGCACTGGAGAGCCTCCCAGGCAGCCCTCTGTCTGGTCAGAGGAAGCCGTCTGGGCCCCATGCTGCTCATGGCAACAACAGTGATTACGGTGGTGACCATGACAATGGTACCGAGAGCCAGGCCTGGTGTGTAGCCCTTTACAAACAGCACTTGGCATTTGTTTCATCCCAGAAAAGTTTTCTGCAGTAGGGGCTATTTCAGAGACAAGAAACAGAGAGGTTACAGAGCAGCCCGTGGCCACACAGCCGTGCAGCCAGGACTGGAATCCCTGCAGGGGGACTCTGGAACCAGCACCATTTACGGCTGAACTTCTTCGCCAGGTGGGCCTGGCCCTGTCATCTCGCCGAGGGCCTCTCTGGGCCTCGTGTGGTCATCTATACATGGGGACTGTGACCATGCTGCAGGGAAGCAGTGGGTGGGGAAGCCATTTTCATGGCTGCAGGGACAGAGGACAGGAAGGAGGCCTTGGGGAGGGCTCCTGGGTCCAGGTCCTCCTGCCCAGCCCCTGACTGGTTCCTCCTGTGCTCCTCCTCACGGGGACCCATGTCTTCCTGAGGGCGGCCTCTGCCCCTGGGCTCTCCCCTGGACTAACCTGCCACCTCCCCTATCTTGCCTGTGAGAGGAATCGGGGCTCAGGGGTCAAACCCTGCCCCTGGTCCTCATCCGTGTGTGTCCCTGGCACCTCCCTAAGGTCCTGTTTCCTTGAGAGTCAGGACGGTCCTGCCAAATTCCTCACCTGGGTGTAGCATGCTGTCTGGCACATAGTTGGGTTGGGTTCTTTCCCTCCTCCTTCCTGTCTGACTGGTCATTCATTCCTGGGGCCCTGGCATGGGTCTTGGCTGTGGCTGTGTGTCCCTGTCTGGGCTGTGTGTCTGTCTCCTTCCTCCACTTCTGAAATGCACTGGAACTGAGTCCCAGTCCTCAGCTGTGGCGAGGCCGGGGGCTGCCTACCTGCTGCTGGGGTGTGCAGCGGGGCTGTGGGGGGGCGTCTGTGTGTCCGTGTGTGTGCTTGCATGGACCTGCCCAGTGGTCACTGCCCCTGGGGGTCGGGGACCTGGGGAGCAAATCCCCAGGTCCCCCTGACCAGCCTGCTCCGAGCTCTGCCCCAAGTTTCAGACCTGACTCGGTTTCCCCCTTGGCCTCTGTACGGCTCTCCCTGGGTCTTGTCGAGACGGAGGCTGCAGGTCAC